ATTAGAAAAGTCAGATAAAGAAAACAGAAAAAAAAAAAAAAAAACAACACACCGAAGAGATAGGAATGGAACATGCAAGATCTCTGGGACACTATTAAAAGACCAAACCTATCATGGGCATAGAAGGAAAAGGTACAAGCTAAAGACATAGAAAACATATTCAATAAAATAATAAGAGAAAATTTCCCAAATCATAAGAGACAATATCCAGAAGATTTTTAGGACACCTAACAGAGAAGACCAGAAAAGAACTAGTCCAAGATATATCATAGTTGAAACATTAAGTGTGCAGAACAAGGAAAGAATATTGAAAGCTGTTAGAAAGAAATGACAAGTTATACAGAAAGGTAAACCAATCAGAATAACAGCAGACTTCTCAACAGAAATCTTAAAAGCAAGGAGGGCGTGTATTTCAAGTGATAAAAGAAAATACCTGCCAACCTAGATTACTGTACCCAGCAAAGCTACCCTTCATAACTGAAGGAAAAACAAAAATCTCCAATGATAAATAAAAACTAAAGCAATTTATGACCCCTAAACCAGCACTGCAGAAGATATTCAAATGCATTCTACTCATAGAAGAGGAAGACAAACAAATGTAACCATGAAAATATGGGAAGAAATAAATAAAATGAGTACATAAGAAAATGAAGAATAGAAAATAATCAAACACTACAAAAACAATAAAATGGCAGGAATTACTACATACCTTTAAATATTAACAATGAATGTTAATGGTCTCATGTCTCCAATCAAAAGACATAGAATGGCAGATTGGATTAAAAAGCAAGATTTGAGACCAGCAGAGTGGCTCAAGTAGCAGACCACCTGGCTAGCAAGCAGAAAGCCCTAAGTTCAAATTCCAAATCACCCCCCCCTAAAAAAAAAGGGTGAAAGGGTATCTTTCAAACAAATGGACCCTAAAAACAAGCAGGAGTAGCTATACTCATATCCAAAAAAGTAGACTTCAAACCAAAATTAGTCAGAAGAGGAAAAAGGTCATTTTATATTAATAAAGGGAATAATCAAGAGGAAAGAACAATTGTAAACATATATGCGCCAGATATAGATGTAGCCAACTGTATTAAACAAACACTACTGGACTTCTAAGCATAGATAATCCCCAAAACGATGACAGTGGGAGACTTCAGTACTCCACTCTCACCAATAGATAGGTCACCCAGACAAAAACTCAACAAAGAAATCTCAGAGTTAAGTGACACTATAGACCAAATAGACTTAACACACATCTACAGAAAATTTCATCCAGCAGTTGCACAGAATATATTCTTAGCAACCCATGGAACTTTCTTCAAAATAGATTATATCTTAGGACACAAAACAAGTGTTAGGGAATATATGAAAATTGAAATAATTCCCTGCATCCTATCTGACCATAATGGAATGAAACTAGAACTCAATAGCATCAGAAAAACAGAAAACATTCACACACATGGTGATGAACCACACATTGCTGAATGCTCAGTGGCTTATTGAAGAAATAAGGGAGGAACTTATTCCTCCTAGAATGTAATGAAAGTTCCTAGAATGTGACGAAAATGAAAACACAACATACCAGAATCTTTGGGATTATAGCAAAGGCAGTGCTAAGAGGAAATTTTATAGCTATGAGTGCCTACATCAAAAAAAGAGTGCTCTCAAATAAACAGCCTGATGATACACTTCAAGTTCCTAGAAGAATAAGCCACTCCTGAAATTAGCAGATGTAAAGAAATAATAAAGTTAGGGCAGAGATTAATGAAATAGAGACAAAAAACTATAGAAAGAATCAATGAAACAAAAAGTTATTTCTTTGAAAAGATAAATAATATTGACTAGAAGGAAGACAGAAAGACCCAGATTAATAAAATTGTAGACAAGAAAGGGTATATTACAACAAATACAAATGAAATCCAGAGGATCACGAGGGAATATTTTGAAAACCTATATTTAAACAAATTGGGAAAATCTAGAAGAAATGGATAAATTTCTAGGTGCATTTAACCACCAAAATTGAACCAAGAGGATTTAAACCACTTAAATAGATCTATAACAAGCATGAGATTGAAGTAGTAAGAGTCTCCAACAAAGAAAAGCCCAGGACCAGATGGGTTCACTGCTGAATTCTACCAGACCTTCAAAGACAAACTAACACCATTACCTTTCAAACCTTAGTATGAACTAGAAAGGGAAGGAACACTACCAAACTCATTCTATGAAGTACATATTACACTCATTTAAAAACTGAGCAAGGACACACAATAAGAGAAAATTATAGACCGATCTGTTTAATGAACACAGACCCAGATATATACAAAAGAGACACCTGCATATCCATGCTTATTGACGTTCTATTCATAATAGCCAAAGGTTCCCAGTAACACAATGAATGGATAAAGGAAATATTATATGCACACACAGACACCCATATATACATTCTTACACATACTTAACCATAGAGGAAAATGAAATTATGTCATTTGCAGGAAAAGGAATAGAACTGGAGATCATCATGCTGAGTGAGATAAGCCAGGTCAAAAGGGCAAATAGCACATGTTCCCACTCATTTTTGAAACCTAGACCTAAAATAATGATGACGATAGTAATGGTGGGACATGAATATATATGGGGGACTGCCTAGGGGACAGTCAGTGGGAGGGGGGAGGGAACAGGAAAAGATACTGAAGGTGAAGAGGATCAAGGTACTGTACCTATGTCTGTATGAAGACGCCACAGTGAACCAACAAGCACTGTTTGAAAGAGGGGGCAGGGATGAATGGGAGAGTGGAAGTATAAAGGAGCAGATAGGCACATTCAGGGTACACTGTCACATATATGAAATTGTCCCAGTGAAATCACCTCATATTATTAATATAAAACAATTCGAAAATAAAATAAAATAAAATACCACAGTAGAATGTAGTGTTTGGTCTATGTGTTGACTGGATGTGTGCAAAAAAAAGAAAAGGAGTGAGTTGCTTTATAGATTTGCTTAGGTCTGCCTTGTTCAAATGTATTTGACTGTCGAAGTCAGGGACACAAGAAGCTGCTCTTTCTTTCTGAAAGTCTGTGCTCATGGCTGCAATTATGGGGTGGTGATGTGGTAGTGTAGCCGAGGGAAGGAACCTCTTCCATATGGTCAATTCTAAGTCTCTTTACTCTGAGCAGGTTATAACTAGTTTAATGGGGGAGAGATCGTCCCTTCAATTAGGCTGAGTAGGGATCATTCCTTGGTGTTGATTATATTTCACTTTTTGGGCCTCTGCCTATAATTTCTCAGAGGTTTTATTTTTAACCTCATCAGGGTTCATGACACAGCCTACATTTCTTTGGAGAGAATTTTCAGGTATCTTCCTCAAGCCAAGTGAGAAGGCTTTAAGATGACCATGCAAGAGATGGGCCTCTGACCGAAGGGATGTCAGGGAAGGAGACACTATCAGACTCACCCCTCAGATGTATCAAGGTGAAGTTCATGGCTAGAGGCGTCAGTGACGGCAGAGGGCTGGCTGAGAGCCAGCAATAGGATTAACGAAGAGACATGACTCCCATGGCCTGGTGGAGACTGTAGATGCAAGCTGAACTGGGGGCTTCTGAGAGATACTCTGCCCAAGGTAACTGCAGCAGGGTGTGGACCTTCTACAAGGACCGTCAATGTCTTAATTTCAAAGCAAGTTAGTCAACTATCAACTATGGAAAGGTAGTAAAATACACTGCTTTGCAGCATATTAATAGCATTATAAAGGTGTGTATATATGTATATACATATATATGTTTATTTTGGATGAATTTGTCTATAAATTTGAGTGAGTGACTAGTAGAGACAGGGTGACAATGGGGCAGGAGTAAAGGGACTGAGCATCTGAGCAGGAGATACAGATGTCAAGGACTTAGAATGATGAGCTGCTGTTCTATCCTTCCAGCCACGAACCATGGAAGATGCTCCAGAGGGGCTCCATGTTCACCAGGTGGGAGGAGGTGGGTGAGCAGGGAGGAGGCTGTCCATAGTCCTTATGGAGTCAGGGGCAGTTCAGAGAGTGTGAAGCCATGTATGAGGCTGGGATAGACCTTGGAGAGCAGTCAGTCTGACTCATGTTATTTTACTTTACAGATGAATAAACTGAGGTAGAAGCTGTGAAGTGACAGACTCAAGTCCACACAGTTTGTTTTGTTTTGTGTTTGTTTCCACAGCTATTTCTAGCCACAAAAGCTCAACAGAAACATCGAGGCAGGGCCCTTGGGTTTGGGATCTGGTGATGACTCATCACAAAGTTACTCGTTTGTTGTGCTACCGCCTTTCCTTTCCTCCTCTGACACATTTTAGAAACTGACAAAATCAGATATATTTCTTAACAGTACAGCCACAAGAGGCAATTAGGGAAATAGTTTGTTACTGAAGCACAAAATAAAGCATGAAAATTCAGATGTTTGTTGAAAATGTATGTATCTTTTTTTCTTACCTTTTGGCCAACCTCTTTTCTTTAGTATTTTTGGTATTCCTTTGCTCAGAATTCTATTTATGCCTCCTTTTCCCCCTGAGAAAATAGAAAAATATAAAAACAGATACTGCCATAAGTTGCATTGTATATAATAGTGCTTTTTAAAAATTCATCTTCCTGTAGCTTTTCAAGAACCTACTGCATAATGAAAAACACCCTTAACCTTATCCTTACCAGACCTTTGATAGTTAAGCTGAGTTCATTCTAGATTCTTGTATTTTTTTTTTTGGCAGTACTGGGATTTGAATTCAGGGCTTCACACTTGCTTGGCAGGCACTGTACTGCTTTGAGCCATGCCTCCAGCACTTTTGCTCTGGTTATTTTAGAGATAGGGTCTCCCTTTTTTGCTCAGGCAAGCCTGGACTGTAATCCTCCTGTTTTAAGCTTTTTGCCATTGCTGGAATGACAGGCATGAGCCACCATGCCGTGATTTGTTGAGATGGAGTCTCACTGACGTTTTCCCCAGGCTGGCCTTGAACCACGATTCTCTAGATCTCAGCCCTCAAGTAACTAGGATTAGAGGCATGAGCAGAGACACCACTTAGATTCCATTTTCTATACTAGCCATTAAATCAAATTCATTTATTCTCATACAAGTAGAAACACTAATTTAAGGTAAACTTCATTTATAGCCAAAGGAACACTGTGAGAAGAAGAAGAAGTGACACTTAAGTGCTTATGCAAGAGGGTTATGGCTTGGATTTTAAATGTCTTGAGAGTCTCATGTATTGACGGCTTGGTCCCAGGACGATGACACTGTTAGGAGGTGGCGGAACTTCAGGAGGCAGGATATACTGAGGGAAGTTATATTGTTGGGAACAACAGGGCCAAGGAACCAAGCACCGATTCTCCAAAAGTGAGCCAAAATAAATCCTTCCTCCCTTCACATTGATTGTCACAGGTGTTTTGTCACGGTGATAGAAATTTGACTAACACAGAGACATTTACATATACTCATTCATTTAGGAGATAAGGACTTATATTATCTTCGTTATCAGTGAAGAAACTGAAGTATATAGAAATTACAAATTTAGAGCTGGGCACAGCTCAAGTGGAGAGCACTTGTCTAGCATGTGTGAGGCCCTGGGTTCAATTCCCGGTAACACACACAATAGAATGAAAATACAAGGAGGCATGGTGGTGCACATCTGTGGTCCCAACTACCTGGGAGGCAGAGATAGGAGGATCACAGTTCAATGCCAGCCTGTACAAAGATAGCACAGGACTATCTAGAACAACAAAAAACCAAAAAAGCCCTAAAAGAAAAAGCCACACTGGGGGTGTGGCTCCAGTACTGGAACACCTGCCTAACAAGTATGAGGCCATGAGTTCAATCCCCAGTCCAAACAAAGAAAAAAGTAAAGCATTGTAGATTTCCTTTGGTGAAGAGGCAGAGGTCAGTGGCAGTAGCACAAGAATTTCAAGAATTTGGATTGTCTAAGGAGCGAGGATGGTGAGCTACACAGATGGGATGCTGGCCACAATCTTAGCCTAGACAAAAAGTTTTGGGCAGATAATGTTATGAAAGCAACCAAAGGCCTTATTCATGTGGGTTTAGATAAACAACTGAGATCTAAGAAACTAAAGGGTATCGACCAAGGGAAATTTGCAAAAACAAAGGTTCAAGACCTAGAAAGTCTTAGGGTTAAAAAAGGATTCACTGAAACCCTATATCAGGGAACTATGCCCTTAGATTCAACAGAGGTAGATGGGGAGATAATGGGGCTCATGCAGGTACATTCCTCAAGCACCATGTTCAAGTGTGCTGATCACTAAGGCAGGGCTATGACTCTCTCTCTCTTTCTCTCTCTCTCTCTCTCTTTTTCTCTCTCTCTGTCTCTCTCCCTCTCTCTCTCTTCTTCCCTTTCTTTTACTCTCTCTCCTTATTCACCCATAAACATTTTAAGCAACCACAGACTCTTTCTCTTCCTCTTTGTACCTTTCATCAAACCCTGTTTAGGGCAAACAGTTTAAAGCCACACAGGCACACAAGTAATCTGGTTCAGTTTACCTGAGCTTTCCTTATTAGGAGATTTGGAGAGTCAGATCTGCTAATCGTACGGAGTTCCTTGCCTTTCCCTTACAAGTGTTCTTTGTAAATGTTCTTGCTCAAATGCAACAAAGGGTACAGGAAGTGTACAGGAAGTACGGTAGCTATTCTTGGGTTTCCTGTTCAACTGCCATGAATGCATACTGAGTACTTGCTATAGAAATTGAGCAAAGTGCTCCTGTCTCCTCAAGGCAAGTGAGAAAGCTTCACCTGCAAGGTAACTGGCCTGCAGCTCCAAGAGTATGAGGAACAGACGTGTTACAGACTTGATCCTGGAGCGTTTACGGGGGACAGTGTGCTAGAAGCCAGCTGTAAGGCCCACTGACAGTAGGATGATGAAGAGGCTTCCATGGGGAGGGAAAGAGTTAGTTTCTGAAAGATACTCTGCCCAGTGGAATCACTTGGATGGCTAAGGTGACCCCAGCAGGAGTATGGAACTCCCGGAAACTGGGAGATAAGGAGTGAAGTGGGAAGCAGCCAGTTGAAAAATTATAAATCTGGGTGGGAAACTAATGGGTGCTGTCTAAAAGAAAGGACCCAGGAGATCATATAAAGTTAATTTAAAAAGTAATCACTACAACAAAAATACAAACCTTCTTAAATATCGGATATATGCTCCTTACCAATGCAAATGTAGGAAATGTGTAGGGGCTCAGCCATTCATCCCTTTCAAGGAAAAGACTCAGAAGTGGCTCTCATTCCTCTGCTAGAACCACTGGCTAGAACTTAGTCACATGGCCAGAGCTAACTGTAAGGAAGGCAAAAAGTAGTCTCAGCTAGGCAGTCATGTGTGCCACGGACAACACTGGAACAGAAATGCAGACCTTCCTAAGTATCAAAAGAATACACCTGCATATAACATGCATAGAAGACAGAATGCAGAGTGTAGACATTTAAAAAATCCTAAGCCTTAGAATATATAATATAAATCCATCTGACTAAAACAAGATCAAACATCTCGATCTTATCAATAAAAGTAAATGTGCTTAACTAACTTATTTAAAAAAGTTTTGAGATTAGGATTTCAAAGTTAAATCCATCTTTTCATTACATACAAGAAACTCACTTAAGATGTATTTAAAAAAAACACTGAAAATAAATATATAGGCAAAGATATATTTAGCATGTCTCAGTAAGAAACCAAGGGTCCTCAGAGTAAACTAACACCTTTGCAGTAAAACCACTAGAAGCATCCAGGGAAGGAAGACTTTTGACAGAGAAGCTTGAAAATACTGTAATCCAGAAAAGACACTGGAAAAACAATTGTGGGGGAGGGGGAGGGTATAAGGAAAGGGTGAAGGAAATTGAATATGGTGGATGTATTTTGTGTTTGTGTATGAAAACAGAAAAATGAAACTTGTTGAAATTGTTCTAAGAAGGAGGTATGGGTGAGGGAGAAGGACGGAGGGGGTGAATCTAAGATATATTGTAAGCCTACTCCCCCAAACACCTATTATATGCTAATAAAAAAAACGATTGTGATAGTTTGCTAACTGAATGAAAGGAAAGTACATATTGTTCATATAGTGAACAATAAAGGTGTTTTTTTTAGGGAGATTCAAGTACCCATTACCCATTTTACTCTTAAGTTCATATAGCAAAATTTCTTTAAATATTGAAGGGCACCCTTGAATTTTTTTTTTTGTAGTACTGGGGTTTGAACTCAGGGCCCTACACTTGTTAGGCAGATATTCTACCACTAGAGCCCCACCCTCAGCCCTGCGGTACTGTCTGATACTGAATTAGTTATAGTGCCAATAATAGTGCTCTGTTATGTCACCTGTCCCTCTGGGTCAACATACTACTCAGGTGGTGGGCGATGCTACTAACCTAAGGCCCCTCCCGGTCACAGCCCAGAACTCTCACCTTTGGCTTATAACCAAGGAGCTTCCCTTCATCCTTTGAGACAACACCTGCTAACTGAATTGGGACGGATCAGCTGTGCAGAGATGTGTCAGAGTCAATGCTCCTTTGACACCTCATCCTTGTGATGCCCAAGGACTCCTCTATTCAAACCCAGGCTATGGCTAATTTGGAAACTAACCTACTGGTATCCTTTTGTCAAAATCAAACCTCAAATAAAACTCTCCATGAAGAACTGGGAAGAAAAAAAAGAAACAAGGGTCATGACTTGAATGTCAAAGGAAGCTTAATTATGGGCAAAATCTTTTAAGCAAGGAGGAATTATAGAAGACATAATAAGCAGTAAAAACATGGTACTAGAAGATTTTTGTATTTGCTTCTTTTAACCCAAGAGAGAGCAGTGAGCAAAACAGGGGCCTCTGGAAGACCCAACTAATACATTTAAAGAGATTGATATGATCTAGATGGAGTGAACATCATAGCCAGAAAATAGTATATGTGCCTTTTCTCAACCTTCTCTTAAATAGTTTTTGAGTCAAAGAGGAAATACAAATTTCTGGATAGCTAGCAGATGACAATGATGATACTGCCCAGGAGAACCTCTGGGAGATTGCTAACACAGTGCCCACAGGAAAAATAATTGCCTTAAATAATTAGCCAGTGATGGAAGTGACAGCAACTAAATTAAACAGCTGGCTCAGAAAAGTTAGTACAACCAAATAAATGAGATGATGTGGTCAAATACCCAGAAATCCCCAAAGCAGCAGTGAATAATCTACTGTAATAGGAAAAAAATCAGGAAATTTCAAAATTAATACATAGAAATGAACTTGTTCAAGGCACATTGTATGCATTATGGAATTATCACAGTGAAAGCCCCTTGTATTGTTAATGTATGGTAAATCAAAAATAAAAATGAAATGAATAGCTTTCATATATAGGAGTAACAATCAGTTAATAGACACACTGGAAGGAAACCCTCATTTACAGTGCGATAACAACAACACATCTCAGCCTCAGAGTAACAGAGCCTATGTCACCCACATGGAGGAAGTCAGAGTCCAGCTAAAGGCATAAGGGCTTCCTACACTCATGGGCCAATGTGCTGGGTCTGGATGGGGGGGCTCAGTACTAAAGCTCCCTGAACTAACATAGAAATTAACACGATTCCACCATAACATCAATATGTTTCAATTAAGTGAAGCTGATTCTAAATTTGATATGGGAATATGAAGGAAGATATCAGGAAAAGATGAAGAATATCTAGCAGAACCCAGAGAGAGGCTGGCCCTATCAGAAGTGAAGCCAGGGAGCTAATGTTGCATGAATAGAAAAAGAGAATCAGTGAATGTCACAAAGTTCAGAAACAGATGTTGATACATATGGCAATTTCAGATACAATGACAGTAGCATCTTAAATTGCTGGCAAAATTAGCATTTTTATAAATGATACTGGATAACTGGACACCCATCTAGAAATAAAAGAAAATTAAATGCAGTCTTCACAAAATGGGCAAGCAAAGATAAACTTCAAATGAATCAATGATTTTAATGTTAAAAAAGAAAGCATCTAATATTAGAAAAAGTTGAGAATTATACTATAAACTTTGATGGAATATGACACAAAATTCAAAAGCCGTAATGAAAAGATTGATGAATTTGAGGTACATAAAAAATATTTTTTGTATAATCAAAAATCATTATAAACAAAATCAAGTGACAGATATCAAATGAGTTAAAAAAGATTTCTATTTATCTTACAAAGATAACTCTAATATAGAGAATTATTGGAAATTGATTAGGAAGCACTAATAATAGAAAAATGGGCAGAAGGAAAAAAACTTAATCTACAAAAAAGGCATGGTATGTATATGAAAAGCTGCTCAACTTCATTTACATAATAAATGAATGCAAATTAGTTAAAACAACAGTGAAATACCATTTTTCACTCATCAAATTAGCAAATTTAACAGCATACTCTTTTGAGGAAATGAAAGGCAATGTTTGTTGAGCTCCGATACATCCTTAATATCCTTGGACTCAGAAATTTTGCATCTGAGAATTTATCCTACATATACATTTGAACACATGAGTGACATCAATGCACATTTATTCATTGAGGCATTTTTTGCTACCAATATATTAAGCGGGATCAGATAAATTATGGTTCATTCATGTAATGAAACACTGGACAGTGGTATTAGAAAATGAGAAGTGCCTTTTGTGCTTATTTGAAAAGATCAAAGAGCTATAGTGATAAATAAAAGTAAATAACAGAACTCTCTTAGAAACAATGGTCCAATATTTGCTAATTCTGTATTCATGGTGACTTTATAGTATACAACTGCCTGGAATAATGAAAGTTGACTTACTATGTGTGTATATGTACACCCACACACGTGGAGTTTCATAAGCTACACACTACTACTAGCAGAGTCAAAGCTGCCATTGCCCTGCCTGGACCATTCTAATAGCTTCCTTACTGAGCTCCCATCCTTGTCCTCCTAAGGCCTACTCTCCTTGTAGACTGCAGAGTACACCTTTAAAAACATAATTCAGATATCATTCCTCAGTTCAAAGCTCTCTGATGTCTTCTCCTCTGAAGACAAGATTCCAAAGTCTTCACAATGGCCTATGATCTACATGGCCCTGGCAAACCACTTCCTACCCAAGTCCTCTCTGTCTCTCCAGCGAGTGGCCTCATTGCCTTTCCCTAAAGGAGCAGGCATGTCCTGGCTCCTGTGTAGATATAGTGCCATTTACTGAGATGAGAATGACTGGTGGTGGGTGTCAGGTTTGGGAGTGAAAATCAAGAAATCTGTTTGACATGTCTCATTGGAATCAGTTTGGATTCCAATCAGCTTGGCAGTTCAGGAGAGAGAGGAGAAGAGGAATATAATTGGCAGCTATTAACATGATGGAACTTAAAGAAATCATTAGGGAAAGAGTATAGTTATAAATGAAGAAAGTACACAGCTCAAGCCTTGGGGCACTCCATCACGCAGACACCCACGATACCATAATTATTAGCACTATCACTGACACCACTAACCAATGATCAGGGAGGAGCCATTAGCCAATAAGAGATTGTAGTGTTCCAAAAGACAAGACAAAAGGTTGCATTCATCACATAGCCTGAAGGGACCACAGTCTCCCAGTTCACTCACCTGATCATGGTAATACTAAGGCCTGCCAGGTGTTAGGAGGCAAGGGGCAGCTAACAAGCCCAGTCAGAAAGCCTGTGATTACTGCAGACAAGCCACACCAGCTTCATCCTCTTGACTGGAGAAACCAGTTTCTGAGGAAGACCCTTCAGATCCAAAGCCCCATGCTCCTATGGAGAGGTCTGCCTCCCCCTCCCACTACTCTTCACACCTGCTACCTTCTTCCTGCCTCACCTGTGAGGCCAGCAGGGCCACTGTCTCTGACCATCTGTACATTTCCTCCTGGGAAGCAGCCTTTCCTTCGTAATGAGATCTGCAGAGAACCTGAATTAGATGGCAACATTGATTACCATGTCACTATCCATGACAAGAAACAATCAATGAAAAATCGCCAATCTTCTACTTTGCTGTTTCTTGACACGTCTTTATCCACCCTTTTATTATTAATGTTTTTGTTTGAATGTTTTAAGTATATACTTTGTACAACCATAAATCATAATCATTTGGATTAAATTTCCACAAATGGCTAGAATTCCTTTATTCATGAAAGTTCCAATAACTATTTATTGGTCACTTTCTGCAAATCAACCTCAGATGCTGAGGAAATAGTTGTGAATTTGATGGTCCAGAGCTTACATTCTACTGGGGAAACAAACAATGAAGAAATAAGTACATATGATGACAGACTGTATGGTGAAAAAATAAATCGTAACTAAGGGGGCCAGACGCTGGTGCATAGCACTGTGTGTGTGTGTGTGTGTGCGTGCATGCATGTGTGTGTGTGCGATCCTTTTATTTTACATAGAAGGGTCAGAGAAGACCTTCTAATAAGCCAACTTTTAAGCAGAGACTTGAAAAAGGAGAGAGTAAGCCATGGATCCTGTCCTTCATTGGTCAAAATGCCCAAACCATGCCCCTAGGAAGACCATTATTGGATATGGGTTCATGGCTTTATCCTGTGGAAGTGAGAGTCACTGTAACTTTTCCTGCCATGTCCTTTAGGCTGACTTATGGTGGCTTCATCTGCAGCCAACAAGATTGTATCAGTCTTCATTATGAACCTGAGCTCAATCAAAGTCTCTCAAAATCCTGTCCTCTCTGCTGAAGGCTTCCATACCTGTTTGGGGAATACTCTACCCAATCCTCCTCTCCCAATTTTGGTTCTTCCTTTCATTCCACCAAATTATCTATCTACTCCAGTAATATGAGCAGTTTTGAAATCTGTTTGTGTATTTTTACTCAAAACAGATACCTTGAAGGAAAACTGACTTTCAGTAGTCTTTGGTATAGACATGGTCTGATTTATAAGGAAAGAAAATCTGAGGAAGGGTTGGGAGTGTGGAATGGATGACTAGAGCAATAAAGAAGGGAACGTGATGAGGTGCATAGAGTGAGGTTTGGTAAGTAGAAGTATCTGCGTGATCAATGCACTCCTAATCAGAGCATTGTGTGGACTTGGGAAGAGGGTGGGGGAGATTTTCTTGTGTTTATCCCAGAATTCATCCCCAGTAAGTCATCATGATGGTTCTACCACTGAGCTCTCCATTCTCCTTTGTGTATTCTTTAATTGCAAAATAAAAACTAAGATACAAACAGGTAAAGCTACTGTGTCAGCCAAGAGACAACTCAAACCGCAATGCAATTTCGTGTAAGAAATATTTAGATTCCGATCCCATATATACACAAAGAGGCATATCCCCATATCCCATAGGGATTATAGATGTAAAAAATGACTGGGTACTTCACAAACATTCTAGAATAAAATATAGAACAGTATTTTAAAAAAATCTTGAGGTAGAGATGGCTACTGTAAAAACGATATAAAATCCAGGAACCAGTGAGAAAAAGGCTAACAAACTCCATTACTGAACATTTAAAACTTCTCTAGGACAAAAGTTTCCACCAATGAGTCTACCAGAAAAATAACAAATGAGACAAAATGTGAGCAATACACATGACCAAGACTTAATATACATAACATAGAAAGATCTCCAACATTATTCAGCATCTCAAGAAAAAGACAGGCAGTGTTGCAGGAAATACTGACAGCATTTTGTAACAAAGAATTCTAGCAAGAAGAAAAGCAAGTGACCAGTAACAAATGAAAAATTCCCATCACACTAAAAGTGAAAACAATGCACATTAAAGCAGCCCTAAAATAGAATTGTTTATAAAGTAAGTGTAAATATGACCAAATACTTTACATGTCATAATAAAACCTCTTATTTTGTACCATGAATATTCACTAATAAAAAGGTATTCAAGTAGTAGTATTATATTAAAAGGGGAAGTATGTTAAAATGTTTAGTGTATTTATTGTCTAGATATGCTATATTAGCTTAAAAAAACAAGAAAAGGAAAGCATAAACTCACATGCTGGTGGCTCATGCCTGTAATCCTAACTACGTGGGAAGTAGAGATGGGGAGGATTGTGGTTTGAGGTCAGCCCATGCAAAAGAAGTCCATGAGGCCCCATCTCAGTGGAAAAAAGCTGAGTTTGGTGGTGCATGCTTGTCTTCCCAGCTATGTGGGAAGCATAAAATTGGAGGGTTGTGGTGAGGCCATCTGGGACAAAAAGCAAAACTGTATCTCCAAAATAACAAGAGCAAAAAGTGTTGAGGGCATGGCTCAAGTGGTAGAACATCTGCCTAGCAAGTGCAAACCCCAGTACTGCCCCCCTAAAAAATGAGAAGAAAAGGAAAACATATATATGATATATATATATAATTACCTTATTCAAACAATTAAAATGATGTTCCAAAATATATTAATATGCACATAGAAATATTCTTCAAAGATACACACCAATATTTATAATAAATATTTTAAAATCAGAATAAAAACAGAATGAAGATGTGAACATTTTGAAAAAAATAGCTACTTGAAAAGACATTCATTTTTGTTTTATGAAAGGTATAAAACATAATGGTAGTAAGCCTTAACATTAAAAATAGTTCATTTGAAGCATAAAAATCAAGCAAGTTCTATTTGTTCTTACTTCTTTTCTTACTGTCTTTGCTCAAAGTAGAATTCTTTCCAACATCCATGGTATCTAGAAAGTAATGGGGGGTGGTCAGAAAACTGTAATTTATAAGTAAAAGTTATAGATCTTACAATTTGCAGTGCATGGAAGGCCTGAATTTATAATGCTGTTCTGAGTGTCATTCCTCTGTTGTCCTTCTAAGGAAATAGATAGGCATGGAATTGTTTCTAAGATCTTTAGTCATCAGAGACCTTGAGACTTACTTATGTGCACCAGTTTCCTCACTTAAGAAATAAGGACAGGTATCCTATTCTTGGTTTAAATTTGTTTTTCATGATGATTAAATAAGATCTCATTTGCAAAGGTTAATAGGAAATCACTATATAAATCAATAACATGTTGGAGGACCTCCTTTAAATCCACATGTTTTTAGTTTAAGAATAGTTTTCTGAGGTCTTTTCCTGACAGGTAGCAGGACAATTTGTCTTTCTAGGCATTTCTAAGGTTTTGACAAAGTAACACCATTATTTATCAGATCCACCAGCCAAATAATTCAGCTTATTTGTTCCATAGATAAGGGTAGAAATCCTATAGTCCCACACTTTAGTACTGATGTGCTAATACCGTCAGCCAGACAACTCCACTGTTACCGGTGGAATTGTTGCCATACATAACCAATAGAGCTCAGCATGTTAGACTTGACACTCTAATGAGCTCTTGCATCTCTGTAGTTATCAAAAGTGTTGAGTAGAGCAAAAGCAGAGAACAGGATTCTGGCACGGACTGGACCTATTCCTTGTTACCTTGTGCTCACGATCAAGTGTGGCAGGAAATGGGAACTCTGATTTCAGGTTCCTAACAACCCACAGTTGGGATTTGGGGCCACTTCCTGTTGGTGAACCAGAGTTAGCCTGATGTTCTCCTTGAACTGTGTATCTGCCACAGAACTACCCAGTGTCTGTAGTATTTCTGAGTCACCTCTATTCCAAGACTCTTGGGCAGCCTTACCCCTTATGAAAGATGCTTGGCTACTTTCCATCCTTGCTTCTTGACTTCTTGGAACACCTTTTGGGAAACACATGACACAGGAACACTTCTTATGTGCTGGTCCTTGTGGATCTGCTTTTAAATTGTAATTTGTAATCACTTGTGGCTCCTCCTTCTGTAGCATTGGCTCTTTTCCTCTAGCATTGACTCTCTCCTCCCCACTGCTACATGTGGGTCTACCTCTGATGTATATATGTCCCTTCCTTTCATAGATGACTCCCAGAATTTCCACTTGAAAGAAAGGGTTAATAGTGTGTTTTAGAAATAGAGAACACTAGAGGACCAAAGAGTGGTTTTAAGGGGAAAGATGTGCTCAGTTACAAAAGTCTTGAGAGACACCCAAGTGGAGAAGGCTACAATCTTCAGCACCTTGGACAGAGACTTTCAGCACCAAATTAGTTTAGAAGGCAGAGCTGGCTGGAGATACATAGATACATATTTAAGGATAATTAGGTTGTGGGTGGTGATTGAAGCCATAGGAGTGAAGAAAATGCCTGGGGGAAAGGTTTCTTGTAATCTGAGTGAGTTCCCAGGGCCACTTTGACACTTGGGAACACTTTGCTCTGAAAACTCACTGCTTTTGTCAAGTTATCTTTGACTCATGTTCATCTCACAATTTCTCCATCTTTCTCCTCTCTCCCTTTACACTGACCTATGTCTCTCATCTTTTAACTTTAATGGCATAGTTTCTATTGTGCCTCATCTTTGTACAATGTTTCTATGCTTGTAACTTTGAATCTAGTTTTATTATTTACGTGACCTTACTACTTTCACTTCCTCCCCTCCTTTTTTTTTTGTTCTCTGATTTTATCTTGATCTTACCTTCTTAGCTGGTTTTACAGTGTTAATCTTTGTCCTTATCCATATTTCCTTCATTCATATTCAGCTTCACCTTACAGATTTCTACTTTGATTATTGCTGAATGCCAGCTTATTTACACTAGCTACATACCCAGTTGTATTATCTTTGCCAGTTCCCTGTGAGCATTCTGTGTTGCAAATCTGCAAGTCTCAGACTTTACCTACATGTTTCTGCTACAACTTCTGAAATTTTGAAATCTGTACTTTTACTTTTTCAATGTTGCTGGGGATTGAACTCAGGGCCTCACGTGTTAGGCAAGTACTCTATCACTGAGCTATGTGCCCAGCCCCTGAGAGGTATTTTGAAAATCACCCCTCCTTTCCTCAAAATTCCCAAAACCAGGGTATTTAAATGCATATCTACTTTGAAAAACTTGAAATTTATTTGGATATCTTTTCATTTGATGACTCAGCCTATTATTTTCATCCTTTCTCAGTGTCATCTCCCTCCATCCATGAGCCCAGCTGTTCTTTGGCAGCAGTTAGAGTCTGTGCACAAGTGTGTGTGTATGTGTGTGTGTGTGTGTGTGTGTGTGTGTGTGTGTGTACATGTTTTGGGGGAGAGGTGAGGAAAGAGGATGGAAGAGTTTTTCCTCCATGTACACAGGAAAACAAAGATAACTGATCACACCAGAATTGCCTTCTCTAGCACATACTACCAGACTGCACCCCTTCTGACTCTCTTCCTCTATTCATTTGAAGAACTTTGGATTCACAAGACACTGAATAGAGATAAGCACATGACAGACTATTGACTATTGATGTAACCAGGGAACACACCTTAATGTGGTCTCATGGAACTTTAGCACTCAAATGAGCCAAGAAAAACAAACGACTATACCTCATATGCACAGAGATTTAGGCTCTTTTTGATCTGGTCACGTCTCTCTCTCCTCATTTCCTGCCTGTTGCTCGGCTCCTGTACATTTCTACCTCTGCCTCTGATCCTGTGAGCCTCTGTCTTTCCAATTTCTCTGATCTCCTGTGTTGATTTGTTCCCTTTTTGTCAGTGATGTTTTTAATCTCCATTCCCCTTTATGTATTTGTTAATCCTTTCTTGATATTTTGTATATAAAATAGTTGGCTCCATTCCTATCCTCTTTTGTCACTTTGTGATGTTCCTTTATTCCCTCTCCATTCACATGTTTATATCTCAATCAATATTTATATACACATATATGATTAGATATATGTGTATATATGTTACATATAGTTTATATAACATTTACCTGAAATTATATGTTTTTATTTGTTGTTGTTAAATAACAACTGACACATTTCCCTGTGAATATTCTGGGTTCCTTATACCACCTCTTTGGACTCTGGGCATGAGCCATAGCTCCTTTCTGCCTGCCTGTTACACATAGTAGTCACTCACTGTAAGACACCTGGTCATTACTCCCTCTTCTTCCTTTAGTTTTTTTATTCTTATACACTTGCATATTTCTTTCCTCATCCCAAAACAGGAATAGCTGCATAAGTCTTAAGGCTTTTGTGATCTTAGTTGTGAAAGAACACTGATAGAATCTAATATAATTAAAATACATGGTCAAGGACATCTGTCAAAAACTATACTAAAGTTTGAGAGTAGTTGATCTGAAGCTTTTATTTCTGTCTACAATCACATAGCAGGACGAGTTTTTTTTTTTTCTGAGGCTTCTACAATTACAAATAACAAATAACTGTTATATCACTAGGAATCTAGCATCTTTGTATTAGTATGTGTGACATTGGGAATTAAAAATATACCATCATTTTGCTATTTATTTCTTCCACAACAGCAGTATATAGTTACATACATTTAGTTGATAGAACTCATCCTGTTAAACATGAGTTTATGATAATTTCCTGCCTCTTTTCATTTTCTAAAGTGCCAAAAAAGAGTTCCCAGGATAACTGGAGACAAGGCAGTCAAGGTGCTCAGAATAAAATGCATCTGGATACAGTGGCTTTTAATTCAGATTCGTGACATCCTGCAGGCCAAGGCTTGACATTCTAATCTTCTTTACCTGATCCCCTTCTCAGGACTTCAGGAAGCTCTTCTCTACGGCTCCATTCTGAAAAGTCACTACTGCTGAAGCCTGTAGAAAGAAGGAAAATGCCTTAACAGTCTTAGTCCATCAGGAAATTCTTTAAAAGAAACATTGGAAAGAGAAGCTTGTGTATGAGGGGTAGAAATGTTCCTACTCTGACTTCATCTGGGGCAGGGGACAACTTGGCCATAACAGGCACTCATCCTTTTTTATACTTCTTCCTGCTTTTCACTTGTTTACATTCCTCTGTTTCTAATCTGGGGTGGTAAAAACATTTAAAAGATATCAGAAAGGCTGGGGGAATAGCTTAAGTGGTAGAGCACCTGCCTGGCGAGCACAAGGCTCTGATTCAATCCCCTGTACTGCCAAAAAAAATAAAAAAAGATATCAGAGCTGCCAGGTGCCAGTGGCTCACGCCTGTCATCCTAGCTACTCAGGAGGCAGAGATCAGGAGGATTGCAGTTCAAAGCCAGCCTGGGAAAATAGTTTGCAAGACCCTATCTCAAAAACACCCAACATGAAAAAAGATTGGCACAGTGGTTCAAATGGTAGAGTGCCTGCTTAGCAAGTGTGAGGCCCTGAGCTCAAACCCCAGTACCACACACACAAAGCTATCAGAGCCCCCATCAACTGGGCCCTAAATGATGGGTGATTGTGTATTCTCTACCTGGGAAACTACTTTATCCTCTGTGTGAGTGAAGAATAAACTTGCACTGTGATTGTACCATTGAACATTTTGAGGCCTACATATTATTCCAATTAGCCCAACCCACCTAATTCAAAATGTATAATATGAACCATCTGAAAATCCCAGCAAGCTGGGTATGGGGGCACATAATTGTAATCCCACAACTCAAGAGACTGAGGTGGGAAGATAATAAGTTTGAGGCCAGCCCAATAAAGTTGAAAAGGACTAGGGATATAACTCAGGGACTGGAGTACTTGCCTAGCATGTGTGAGACCTTGGGTTCAATCTCTAGTACTAAAAAAAAAATCCTAACAAATTAATTTTTATTTTAAAGAATATTTAAAAATTTGAATGAAGTTTTTATATAAAAGGAAAATATTTACTTAAAGTATTTTAAATTGCTCTTACATGTTTTCCAATTCTGTGTCCTCAAATCAGATACTTTCCCACTATCCAGAGAACCTAGAAGAAAAAGAAAAAGAAAACCAGAAATCTCTAACTAAAAGGGTTAGAAATGCCAGGACTACTTGCACCTTAGATAGGATTTGAACTATAAAGATGCTGTGATGATCACTTGTCTCCCTTGAAAGAAGAGAGAACCCTACCAAATGGGACAGAGCCCATTTAGTTCTAATTGCAAAGTCAAAAGTGCTTTGAAGCCAATATTTTCCCTAGGTTGCTGCTTATTAATTGTCAGTGGATCTAGGCTTATGTACCATGAGGGGGTGTCAAATCTTATCACATGTGGTGTGAATAGTCACACAGCCTGCTGCATAAACATTAAGATAGATAACTGGGACTAGGAAGCTGTGCCAGAATTGACTGCATGTCTTGTAATATAGAATGCAAACTATATTGTCTTTCTTACATAATTAAATGTTTTTAATTCTGAAATACAGAACTGGCTCCAAAGGTTTTAATGAAGGATTTATGGGTGTTTGCTAATAGTGCAGACTATGGATTCTGCCTCTAGCTTCCCCTGTGTGATGTGCAAAAGATCTTTAATGGCTTGTGTGCTGGAATTTCCCCATCTGTGAAATGGAGCAAAGAAGTTATCTTGCCTACCTTTTAGGCTGTTGTAAAGACAAATGAAAACCTTGTTTGCAAAGATATTTTCAAATATCACTATCTGGCCAATGTTATGTTGGGGGTCATCAATGAAAATCTAACCAAAAGGTTTTCTTTACACAAATAATTAGAGAGTGGGACCAGGATGCTTTGAGCTTTGAACAAATTTATAATAAAATCAAGAAATAGTTTTCGCTTTCTCTTATCTACATAATAGAGGATGGACAGAAGTGGCATTGTGCCCTAAACCCAATACTTTTGGGGTTAATAGGTCTGGCAGCATATAATAAAAAGACATTCTCACCCAACTACAATCATCTCACTGAGCCTGAACTTAAAATGACTTGTTTTGTATTTTTCAAAATGTGCAGATGAGGTAAATGCAGAGACTAGACCCCAGGGTGGCCTGGACCATGCTGTGTTATGGGCTCAGAGTAAATCACAGCAAGGAAAGGGAGCTTTCAACCTAGACTCCTGCTGTTCTGGAGCTGAGGCGGGCAGTCCTTACTCTTTACCCCACACTCACTCTTCGATGCTGAGATCCAAGTCACTGGAAGTAATTCCTCATCACTGGATTCTGAAGTGTCGAAGACATGTCCGCTCACTGTTGAAAAGAGCAAATGTCCTCTGGAGGTCTCAGTGTATGACAAGGGAACCAACATAGAAAAACATTCGATACAAAGGAAACTAAGAAAAACTTAACTTGGAAATTCCAGGGCAAGAATGCCCTGCCCTTAGACGGATCTGTCTTTCAAATTCGTGTGACCTGTAGGTTAGTGTTTCAGCCCTCATTGTCACCCAGCCTGAGATGGGGAACAATTCCCTTCCAGTGGGTGTCTCCGCTTTGTCTTGCTCCTCTGTCTTTGTATGCTACATTTTTCTGTTTTGATTTACTTGCCCTTTTATGCATTTGTTGCTGCTTTAAAAAAAAATCTGTTTATATTTATTTATAGTTTTGCTTCTCTTCCAGGGCAATCGTGGAAGTCTAGAATCAAAGATGGTAGATCTTCTACTTCTGATGGCAACTAGAAATAGAGCCATGCCTGTCTCTCATCTAAAAATCCCTGCATGGTTTATTGAAGAAAAAAATTAAACTTCTATTTAAAAACCTTTTATTATGTTGAGTCATTAACTCCTTTGAGCTCATAAATTATAGCAGCTAGCCTACCTAATAGAAAAGTTAAAATAAGAACCATCCAAAATTAGAACAAACTGTATTTTACTTTGAAGAAAAGAGTAAAGAATTAGAAAACACTGTCATGAATAATCATGGAACGTTCTTATTTTTCTCTTACCACTTTTCCTAGCCCTTTTTCTGAAAACAGGAGATGTTCTGAAATCTGTGGACTCTGTAAAATAAAATGGAGAAAAATCATCATTTGTACTCAAAAGATAAGTTCTATGACAACTCACATGACCTGGTCCTGAAGACCTGGTGATGCAATGCCGGGATCCTGCCTGGGGTTCTTTTTAATTCTTTATGTAAATTTGTAAGTGACTCTTGACCATTTCTAGATCCAGTTTTGTCATCAATAAAGGTAGAATTACCTAGTTACCATGACTTCCTGTTAAGGTTTTTGTGATGAGGTTTATTTACACAAGCCCTAGAAGAAATATAATGTATCCCAGCATTTTGATTATAATATGGGTTTGAATGTACTTGACCTGAAGTCATTTTATCTGCTCAATTATTAAACAGCACAAATTATTCCTTGAAGGCTTTCTAAGCTGTGACTAATGACAGGATTATCAATGAATAGAGGAATATCGTTCTAACTGTATTCTATAAAATATAGAAAATACATTATTTCAATTCTTTAGTACTAATAGATATGATAGCAGGTAGTTAACAAAAAAACCTGTTCTTTTACTAGCATATTTTTGTTAAATTTTTGTTGTATCAATCAATGGGACCTGTCCAATTTAACAAGTCTATAAGGCCTTCTTGATCTTTCCCTTCCCAATCAGACCAGGGAAGTTAAATATTACAGAATCAAGGCATATGGAGAGCACGGATTAAAATTCATCCAGAAAACAGTTTTGGATTTGGACCCTGATATCCTGTGGTCCAAGAGGTGCAATTCTGATATTCTTTACCTGATGTAATCCGGCTTCGTGAGCAAGTGGCTTCTTGGGCCTCTTCTCCTCCACTTAATTTTGACAGATCATGGTTATTCATTTCTGTACAAAAAATAATTCTTTAGTGGTCTTGGTTATGACCAAGGATCCAATTCAGTAGGAAAATTCCCATTAAGAAAACTTGGAGAAACCTTGAAAATGCATGCAGATTTTTGCCTGCACCTAGGCCACACGAGTTTGCCTTTTCAAATTATTTACCTTGAGGTTAGTGATACTCCATTCTTGTCCCCAAAGGCAGAGATAATTCATTGGCAGGGGACAACATCATCACTTGGCCTTTTCTTTCTATACTTCTTATCCCTTCTACTTTCATCCACATTTTTTTGCCTCTGCCTCTGTGTTTCATGCACATTGGAACCATTTCCAATGTGCATGAAGTATCCAATGTCCAGTGGTTTTTATCGTTCAGGAAGGCACTAGGTTGGTGCCATTACAGGGCAGAGAAATAATCTCCTCTCATATTTGTGCCACAGACATATTTTTAGCACTAATTCTTGGAGCAGTTTGCTTACACTAACGTAAGGGAGAATGTACTGTCTAAGAACTAAAGTGTGTTTCCATTTTCCTTTGGAAGACACAGTGAGCAATTAGAATGAAAGTATTATTTAAAATACTGCCCTTTTGTAACTTCAAGACCAGATAATATTTTCATTTGCTCTTAGGTCTCTTCCTACCATGTTTTCTCCAAAGAAGCCTGTCTCTAAAATCCTCTGAATTTAGAAAGTAAAAGGGGAAAATAAATGACTACCTTTTATGCTACAGAGTTTTAAATCTTATGACAATCCATGTGACAGATAGGACTGAGATGCTACAATCTTTTGATAATCACTTCTGTGTTGCACTTTACAAAGGAAAAAGCTCACTACAAAGGGTGGTACTCTTGCCTTTCCTTTAATTCTCCTGAGACTTTGGAGAAGACCTTGAAACATTTCAGTGTCTATCCCTCTTACCTCTTAAGGTTGTTGTGAATTAAAAAATGTTATGTATCACTCTATATGCCATGACTTGCTGAAAATTTTTGTCACAAAATCAGGTTTCAGAATATTTTATCCCAAGTCTTTATTTCTGATAACATGAGATAGCTGACAGAATTGTCTTTCAACACTGTTATGATCACTGTTAAGATCAAGATGACCTAGAAATCAATGGATAAGTCAAGCACTTTATAGCCATGGCAGAGAGCGGGGACCCAGAATAAACTGGATCCATCATACAGATGTGCTCATAATAGAATGTCTCAGGAGACAGGAATTCCTAATTCGGATTCCAAGTCTTGTCCTCCCAGCCTTCCTTACCAGGCCTGCTTGGTACTGAGGTGATGGACTTTGGGGCCTCATCTTCAGAATCCTCACTGCTGATGACTGCACAAAGGAGAAAAGGCCCTTAAGAGTCTCAGCAAGCAACCAAGGAGACCCATGCAGCAGGACACCCCACAGTGTGAACTCTAGGAAGACTTGGGAAGCTAACTTAGGCTGTTCCTTGAAAGTATGACGCTTGAAGCTTGTTCCAGGACCCAAACCAAAAATTGGATCAAATTGACACATAGAGGTGGTTTCTCCCATCCTGCCGGCACTCTTCTCACTTCCACCCTCATTCTCATTCCACCTTTCTTTTGCTCTCATTTTACCTCAACTTTCTTCTTGGTTTTGCCCATTCTGCCCTCTCCTGCCTCTGTGCATGGAGATGGATCCCTTCAAACCTTTTTGTCTTGATGTGTTTGTCTATCTTCTCTTGTAAATATCTGTAAATACCTGGGTTCCTTGATTTTTTTTCCCTTTTCTTTTTCTTGGTGATGGTGGGGAAGTACTGGAGCTTGAACTCAGGGCTTCACAGTTGCTAAGCAGGCACTCTACAACTTGAGCCACTCCACCAGCCCTGTGTGTGTGTGTGTGTGTGTGTGTGTGTGTGTGTGTGTGTGTGTCTCAGGTATTTTTGAGATAGGGTCCTCCTAACTATTTGCCTGGGACTGGCTTCAAACTGCATTCTTCCTGATCTCTGCATCCCAAGTAGCTAGGATTATAAGTATGAGCCACTGGCTCCCAGCTTTCCCCCTTTTCTTTAACTCTTACCCTCTTGCTTTCTTTTCTGTCCTTAGAAAGATCCTCTCTGACATCAAAACTCATTATTACCTCCACTTCTGCCTTTTGGTGTTTTCCCACTTCTTAAGGCTTACTTAGGCTTACAAAGGGCTGGCCTCTTCCCCTTCCCACCTCCATCCCAGGCCACCTTGGCCTTCCCTGTTGGTTCTCAAGTGCCCAAGTTTCTTACCTGGAGCCTGTTACCTGGCAACAGTTACCAATTCTTTTTAGTCAGCCTTACCTATTATTTCAGATGCTTGGTTAAGCTTAGTCTTTGCTGGGGCTTGTTGATCAAAATCTGAGTGAAAAAATGGCTTTTCTTTCTTTATATCTACCAGAAACACAGAACAGGAATTCATTTGAATTCCATAGCTGGGTGGTTCTGCACCTGGAACAAATTATAATGAATAAAGAGTTTTCATTTGTCTCCTTGGTGGACCCCCTTCACTAGCATTAATAGTCCTCTTCCTGAAATTTTACTGTTGGGATACAGCCTTACCCTCACCCCTTTTTCTTGCTTTTCAGTTCTGTTCTGTCCTTTGTGCTTCTTGATGCTATTTTTTTTTTACCTTTCCCTTTTATCTTTAGATGGATTTTTTTTTCTTTTTTAAAATAAAAATTAGCTCTAGGAGTTGGTGGCTCATATCTATAATCCCGGCTACTTGCGAGGCTGAGATTGGGAGGATCACAACTTGAAGCCAACCTAGGAAAACAGTTCTCAAGACCCCCTTTTCAAAAATAGAGCAAAATGAGCTGAAAATGTGGCTCAGTGATAGAGCACCTGCCTTGCAAGGATGAAGCCCTGAGTTCAAACCCTGGTTCCATCAAAAATAAAACTGGCAGTGGATGATGACACATACTTGTAATCCCAGAACTCAGGAGACTGAGGCAGAAGGATCAAAAGTTTCAGGCCAGCCTGGGCTACACAGTGAACTGTCTTAAAAAAAAAAGATAAAATTAAAAATATAATTGCAGTATAACATGCATAGGTAAAAGTACGTATTCAGTGATCTCAAAGTAAGTATGTCACTTTGGTCAACAGATTACCAATACCCAGAAACCTCTTAGTGACATCTCCCAATGACCGTCCCCACTGTCTTCCTCAAAGTCCCCACCATCTTGACTTCCAACACCTAGATTAATTTTGCCTCCTCTATAATTTATATAAGTAGAATAATCACGCTCTCTTTTCTCTCTTTCCCTTGCTCTCTCTATATGTATGTATGTTATGTATGTGTGTATATATGCATGTACATACATATGTATAGTATGTCACATGATTTTGACCATATGTGGTTAAATAAATGAATGAACAAATAAACAAATAAATGAAAATTCCAAAACAAAATTTTGAATTCCCATGTGCAATTATGCAGCTCTGTGGCTGTGAAGGAGCTCTCAGTCAGCTGTGTTATTGTCAGCTGTGTTTAAATTATTGCATGATCTGCTGAGTGTTTCCCTGCCCTTAATTTTGTGAAAATCTGCCTCCCAAAAAGCAAATCATGCCCTAAAAGCAAAGTAAAAATGAATGTGCTTACTTAAGTGACAAAGTGAAATTTTTAGGTTTGTTCAAAGGCAGCATGTCTTTAGCAGAAAGTGGACGATGTTATGGTAAAAATGAATCCAGCATCCTTGGTGCAGATTCCATGGTTCCATGGAATCCATGGTTCACAGTATTAAACTCCAGGCACTCTGGGCATTTGGAGTGTTTTTCTCAATGGTGATCTCCTTGGAAACATATATCCATGATACCTAGGGTCTACTGTATGCAAAAAGAAAACTAAAGCCCCCCTCCACATACGTGTAATGAATATATTACTTAATCACCTTATTCATGTTGTACAATTGTTTTCAATGCTGTATAGTATTCTATTATAGAAATAACCCAGAAGGTATTTATCCTTTTGTGCTGTTTTAAGCGTTTAATTTTTATGAATAATGCTGATACGAAACATTTTTCCTATGTGTTTTGGTCAACATAGATGTACTTCTGTTTGTTTCTGTTGAGGAATGTAATTGCTGAATTCTAAGGTATGTATATTTTCAACTGTAAAAGAATACATCAAACTGTTTTCCAAAACCACACATAAAGACAGCTTGCAAATTCCAGACACTAAAGGAAGTTTGGTATGTTGGGAATGTGACATTAGGAAGTAAGAGGGCAAGTGACAGGGAATTGGAAGCATGGCAGACATGCTCAAAATGTCATACCAATAGTGTTGGGCAAATGCCGAGGGCCACAGAAGGCAGTGGGTTTTAAGTAAGAGCCATATGAACTGGTTTGCATTTTTGGAAGATCTTTTTAGCACAAGTGCAGACAATAGACTTGAGGGCAGCAAGATTGGAAAGACAACACCAGACAAAAGACTGCTCCTCTGGCTCATGTGAGAGTGACAGGGATCTAGACAAGGGTGATCACACTGTGGATGCTGAGAAAAGGCTGGAGATGCTTTAAAGTTGGAGTTAACAGAAGTCACAAATAAAAGTGCTTTAAACCACTAAGTTTTGGATGGTTTGGTACATTACATAGCAATAGATTACCAAGAAAGCCTCCAAACAGAGATGTCCTGTGGATCTTTGAATGAAGGTCATTGGGCACTGGAAACTGATTTTTTTCTCTGCATTCTAAAAAAAATCGCTATCTCTCAAGGTCAAGAGCAGAGGGAGGTAATAGATGAGGATAGGTTGGTAGTATGAGAGAACAAAAGAAAATTCTGCTCTTATGGAAAATCAAAGACATAATTAGAAAATTGGGGAGGTTCAGAGCAAGTTGGTAGAATAGGACTCTAGCATTCACCCTTTCCAAAAAAAAAAATCAATCAGAACAGCTATATATATATATATATATATATATATATATATATATGAAAATACTGTCACAAGAGTTAATAGAACCAGGTGAGAGATCACAGCACCTATGTGTGGTAAAGAAATAAGAAAAAATACATTGATGATAGCAGGAAGGATAGTTTAACTTACCTATGTCATCCCTTCCCTGACCCCAGGCAGCTGAATATGTAGAGAAAGATACTTCTTAGGTAAAATGAGAACTAGACTTGCCTTAGATCCCAGCACTGTACTTCTCTAGTGAACCCAAGGCTGAGCAGGCCCTAATGGCCTCAGATTCTTGGTTAGGACTGTGGTCTACATGCTTGCCCAACCCCCAGGAAGAATCCCACAGCTCCTGATCAGCCCTGGAGACTTGGTCTTTGATTTGCCTCAAAACCAGCCTCTCAGCCCCATGCTCCAGAGTAGGTCTAGTGCCAGACCAACCCCAGCGGCACCAGACTTTGGGTTCATTCCAGCACCAGGCTAGCTCTAGCTGATCAGCACCAGCAGGACCAGCTTCAGGCACTGTCCAATACCTGAAGAGTTCCACCCTACTGCTAAAGAACCCTATAGACCCTGAGTCAAAACCCTCCCAAGCATAGGCCTGCCCACTCACTGTCCAAGGCACCAGACCAGCAAACCTATCTTTGGATCACACTGGATGGCCTATCCAGAATCTCTGGATGGCCTGACTGATGAAAGGCTTTCACAGACGAAGCCAGTCTGCAAATACTGGAATAAGTCCCTACTTCCTTAAGTATACAGCATCAATGTAAGGCAAAAAGAAACATGAAAATCAAGGTAGCAATAATACCACCAAAAGAACACAATAATCTCCCAACAGTTTACCCCAAAGATATGGAGATACAAGAGCTTCCTGACAAAGAAGTCAAAATTGTTTTAAGGAAAGCTCAGTGAACTTTAAGAAAATACAAAGAAACAGTCACATGGAATCAGGAACACAGTAAATGACCAACATGAGAAATGTAACAGAGATTGGAATTTTTTTCCTTTTTTAAAAATATGGAATGCTTCACAAATTTGTGTGTCATCGTTGCACAGGGGCCATGCTAATTTTCTCTGTATCGTTCCAATTTTAGTATATATGCTGCCGAAGAGAGCATGAGATTGGAATTATTAAAAAGAAAATCAAACAAAAATTCTGGTACTGATAACACAATGAATGAAATGAAAAGTGTAATAGACCACTGACAGCAGATCCAGCAGAAGAAAGGATCTGTGAATTTGAAGATAGCTTATATGAAGATGTACAGTCAGAGGAGAAAAAAATAATGAAAAGGAGTAAAGAAAACTTCCAGGATTCATCAGACATATCAAAAGAGCAAATGTTAGGCTGTGCACCAAGGCTGTGTGTCCGTGTGTGGGGTAGACAGTAAGGAGAAAGACTATTTGTTCCTGTATTGTCCTCATTGCAAACATTCCAGTCATCACCAGATGCCTCTCCTAGTGCCACTGTCTACTGCACCAGAATCCTTCTGCCTGAGTTCCTTCTGGTGGGTCCTTCACCCAGGCTTCCTGAGAGAAAGAGCAGAAGACCAGGGGAAGACAAAGGGAGTAGAAGTCTTATTTAAAGAAATAATAGCAGTAACATTTCCAGATTTATGGAAAGATACAAATCTCCCAGTACAGGAAGTGAAAAGTCTCCAAACAGATTCAATATAAGACTACATCAAGACATACTACAACGAATAAAGAGGTTGAATATATAATTAAAGATCACCAGTCCAAAAACAAAGTCCAGGGGCTGGAGGCATGGTTCAAAGGATAGAATGCTTGTCTAGTAAGCACAAAACCCTGAGTTCAAAACCCCAGTATTGCTCATCCCCTCCAACCCCAAAAAGTTCAGGACCAGTTGGCATCCAAGTTGGAAAAGCAGAAGTTGTATTGCTATTATACAGACCACACAGGACAAATGCACACCAAGCCTCACAGTCAATGGTGAAAAGTTAAAAGTTTTCGCTTTAGGATCAGGAGCAAAAGAATGACCCCATTCTTACCACTTCTCTTCAACAGAGTGTTACAGATGGCCAGTGAGTGCTTAACCTCACAATTCAGGAGGAGGCACAAGGAA